TCACAACACAATTGGTAAATGCACAAATACACTTTGTAAACTTAAAAACACAATTCATAAATGCGCAAATCAAATTCGTAAATTCAAAACACAATTTAAATATATACAAATTAAATTTGTAAACTCAAAAACACAATTTATAAATGCGAAAATCCAATTCGTAAACTCAAAACACAATTCATAAATGCGCAAACCCGATTCGTAAATTCAAAAACTCATATCATATATGCGCAATCCAATTTGTAAATTGAAAAACCAATTAATAAATGCACAAATCCAATTCTTAAACTCAAAAACCCAATTCATTAATGCACAAATACAATTCGTAAATGCATTCATTTTCTTTTCGGCTTAGTCTCTTTGTTAATCTGTCACCACAGCGGAATGAACCACCAACTTATCGAGCACATGTTTTACGCAGCAGATATCCTTCCAGCCGCAACCCACCACTGGGAAACACCATACCCAATTCACTTATGCCGCATGTTTTTGGACTTTGGGGGGTTAAACCAGAGCATCTGAAGGGATACCACACGAACACAGGGAGAACATGCAAACTCCACACAGACACGGCAACTAACCCAGCTGAGGCTCGAACCAGCGACATTCTTACTGTGAGGCGAATGTGCCACCCACTGTGCCACCGTGCAGCCCCCAATTCGTAAATTCAAAACACAATTCATAAATGCGCAAATCCAATCCATAAACTCAAACATCCAATTCATAAATTTGCTAACCCATTTTGTAAATTCAAAACACAAATCATAAATGCGCAAATAAAATTCATAAATTCAAAACACAAATCAAACATGCAAATCCAATTTTTAAATTGTAAACACAATTCATAAATGCGCAAATCCTAAGAATAGCTAATAGCATATGGTGATTTGTATAGACAATAGACAAAAATTATTTGTAAGGGTAGTGTTGCTTTATTTATTTATTTATTTATTTTATTTATTTATTATTATATATATTTATTTTTTTTGGTTGTATTCCTTGTTTGACTACTTTGGATGGGAACCAACAGGAACAGAAACAAACCCAATTGACAAATTTTGATAATGGTTAATGGCAAGTAATTTAATGAATTAAAAAAGTTTGAGAGGAAACTGACATGAGTAAATTATTCACCACAAAAGAAAATTAAACTAAATGAAACTAAACTAAACTAAACTAAACGAATAGAATAGATTAGAATAGAATAGAATAGAATAGAATAGAATAGAATAGAATAGAATAGAATAGAATAGAATAGAATAGAATAAAATAGAATAGAATAGAATAGAATAGAAGAATGGTCAGTGGAATTTGTCCTTCTAGAACACGGGTGTCAAACAGGTGTGTTGAAGCAGGGCTGGAACTACCCTCCAGGAATTGAGTTTGACACCCCTGTTCTAGAATAACAGTAATGATTCAGTGTTAAAAATGTGACTTGTAAGGCTGGACTATTGTAGCACGTTGTGTTGAGAGAAAACTGGTCCAAATTTCATTTTAGTGATGAAAGCAAGTTAAAATTTCCAGTCTGATGATAAATATCTTTTGTTCATCATAATACTAGATTAAAGACTGAATGTTAAATGTGTAAAGTCAGTGAAAGCACGAGAAAGTGCCTAACAAACAATATATACAGTACACGCAAAAAAAAAAAGTGAGTGTGTTAGCCAACGCATTATTTAATAAATCCTTGGGACAGCATGTAAAATTACCGGCTGTTTATTTTCATTAGGCTGTTTAATGAAGCACTTTGTTTAGAATTGAAATAAAAAAACTAAATTTGGACACTATAAAAAACTGTAAGCATTTATCTTTGCTTAAAAGATGTCTAGATGTCTAATAGATATCCAATGGATGTCTAGCCATAAATGTTTTGGCTAAAACAGGGCTATATTTGGACAGTCTGTGAAAATCTAGTGTACATCTAAAAATATCGCAAAACTAGACTAGTCATCAAATACGCAGGAATTAATAACTAGACATGTGAAGTCTTTCTAATCTGTCAATGATTAGTCTAATTTTGGGCAATTCATTGACGTCTATTAAATTTGCACTCAATTCAATTTGGCCTCATTTTAGCCATGTCATCCACGTCTACAGACTTGTTTCACGCAGCTGCCAGTTTAAAAGCGAAATCGAGGCTGCGGTGGGAAGAAACCACAAACTGTCGATGGAAGTCACACAGGAACGTTGTTTACCTAGCTGTATATCTTATCAGTGAAGAGAAAGTGACACAAATGTATTGTTTCACTGCCTTACGAGTGACCTAAAGGTCCGTTCTGAATGGTTAGTGAAAATAAAAAGGGATATCAGACCACATGTTTTAGATGCTCTTTATCAAACTAAAGATAATGAACTGATTCTTTCACTATATTAGACTTGTCACGATACTGAATTTTGGCACCAATCGGTACTGAAATGTAAGTCATTTCTATCGAGCAATGGTTAATATCAGCATGTGTTAAGGAATGTGCCTAAATGTTAGCGGGTAATAGATGTTTTTACAATTTCAGTACTGGGACAATACAATTACAGACAACACAAGCATGTGCTACAGACGACTGCACTGTTTTATCACTATTCGGGTTACATAGGCTGAAGCAGTGAAGCGTCCCCATAGTTTTTACCTGGTGCCATGAACTAAAGCCTAGAAGGATACTTAAGCGTATTACTCTTAAAGAGATTGTGATTTTGTTTGATGCCTAAATTTACTTTTAATCGTTTAAATTAAATTTACTAAAGGATTATAAAGTGATGTTTACACAATTTCTGCAGTTTGAAATTGCAGCAACAGCTGAAGGTTTGTAGTCCACAGCATGTCTTTGCAATGTTTACAGTGCTGCTTATCCAATACTTCCGGGTTTCTTCCCGCCACAGCCTTGCTTTAGTTTTAAATGGCAGCCACACGAAATAAGTGTATTAGATGTCTATAAATTGTGAAACTGCTTGGTGGGAATATAATTTATTAAAAATACAGTACAAGTAATTAGAAAGTAGACTTAGGAAATGAAACTAAAGAAATAATAAAATGTCTAAAGTCGAAAGGAAAGTGGGCACCTTGTGGAATTATAAAGGATGCTAGAATCAGCTTTGCATTCCGTTAACTAATTTACTAGCAAACTATTTGCATTGAATGCATTAAAGGCTTTCTTTCATAAAACATGTATAATGTGCAAAAAAACAATTTTGCATTTAATAGACATCTAATAGATGTCCAGCATGGATGTTTGGGCTAAAATGAGGTTACAGTAAAAATAATTAAATGAAAATCCAATAGATGTCTAAGAAAAACTCAAAATTAGACTAATAAAATATATTTAAAATATTATTTTGATTTGCCAAAAAAAATAGCTTGCTTAAAGAATGACAAAAACTATAAACTTTATGTTAAACAAATTACTTAAACATCAGCATATCGAAACACCATCTAACGCAGGTAGCATGATGCTAAAAAAAAGATGACAATCTGACCAGCAGTGCAACAAACGAATCAGAAAGACTTCAGACAATTTTAGAAAAGAGACGTTCATTATTTTTCCACCACACAAGTTCTCCATTTCTATCAATCACATCCTCCCAGAGTCAGCACGTGCATGAAGTCTGATGGTAAGATAGAGATAGATTTCTCCTTTAAATATGTGGACAAGAAAGCCTGTATGCCATACACAGTATTCATACACTCGCCAATAACTGTATTAGGTACACCTGTCCAACTGCTTGTTAATGCAAATTTCTAATCAGCCAATCACATGGCAGCAACTCAATGCATTTAGGCATATAGACATGGTCAAGACCATCTGCTGCAGTTCAAACTGAGCATCAGAATGAGGAAGAAAGGTGATTTAAGTGACTTTGAATGAGTCATGGTTGTTGATGCCAGACGGTCTGGTCTGAGTATTTCAGAAACTGCTGATCTACAGTGATTTTCACACACAATCATCTCTAGGGTTCACAGGGAATGGTAAAAAAAAAAAAATATATATATATAAATATAGTAAGCGGCAGTTCTGTGGGCACAAATGCCTTGTTGATGCCAGAAGTCAGGGGAGAATGGCCAGACTGGTTTGAGCTGATAGAAGAGCAACAGTAACTCAAAAAAACAACCAGTTACAACCGAGGTATGCAAAAGAGCAACCTTGAAACGGATGGGCTACATCAGCAGAAGACCACACTGGGTGCCACTCCTGTCAAATAAGAACAGGAAACTGAGGCTACAAATCATGTAGGCTTACCAAAATTTACAATACAATATTGGAAAAACGTTGCCTGGTCTGATGAGTCTCGATTTCTGCAGCGACATTCGGATGGTACAGTCAGAATTTGGAGTCAACAACATGAAGCATCCATCCTGCCTTGTATCAACGGTTAAGGCTAGTGGTAGTGTAATAGTGTGTGGGATATTTTCTTGGCACACTTTGGGCTCAAATGAGCATCATGTTCACTGTACTCAAATGGCCTCCACAATCACCAGATCTCAATAAAATAGAGCACCTTTGGGATGTGGTGGAACAGGAGATTCACATCATGGATGTCCGACCGACAAATCTGCAGCAACTGCATGCCCCTATCATGTCAATATGGACCAAAAACCTGAGGAATAGTTCTAGTGCTTTGTTGAATCTATGCCACGAAGAATTAAGGCAAAAGGGTAAACAACCAGGTACTAGTAAGGTGTACCTAATAAAGTGGCCGATGAGTGTATTTATTTTATTTAGAAAGCATGTCTGTGTACACTTTTAACTTATACTGTAGCTTTTTTGGTGTCATATCCATGCCGTCTCCACAAGCGTGATGTGATGTCACATGAAGAGCGTGTAAGTATATAAAACATATATAAACAGATATATGAATCAGCTTACAATACTTAGAGTACATGTAAACAGATCTGAACTCATGTATAATGTAAAAAATGTGTAAACATATATAGCCGCTGACATACACTGTTTATATTTAAAATGAAGCATTGTGAATGGATGTCATATAATTATAGTCTTGATACACACCGGGAGTTCAGATGGTTCAGGAAGAAAGTCGGCATCTTCTCCGAAGATAAAGTCTGGGGGCAGTTCTGGGTCTCTGGCGTTAAAGATGATGTCCCCTGATAAAAGGAAAGAAAAATAATTTCACAGATTATTACATCAAAAACTAAAAGTCTTATCTAAAATAGACTTCACAAACCACAGCTCACATTCAGGGCTGCAACTACTAATCGATAAAATTGATAATTATTGTTAATGATAATTATTGTCAACAAATGTCATCACAGATTACTTGGACACACAACCAAGCAATTGAGTGAAACTGGGCTTTCGTGGCATGAGATTAGCCTAGCACCATCATCTTCATCATGTTAAAATGCAATATAATAGAAGTGTTTTTGTTCAAACTGTTTGCTAACTTTGGGAAATTAGTGCTAAATCAGTTTAGTTGCATCACACTGAGCATTCACCTCATGAGCTATAGTGATGTTGAATTAAATTAGATTATGATTAGCTTCACGATACTGAAATTCGATACCAATCGGTAGTGAAATTTATATTTTTATTAACATTTTATTAACAACTTTTTTATTTGACATTTTTTTAAATATAACTATTTAGAGCCGTAAATAACGATTCAACCTTCCACACGATCTTTATCCAGCATCTCTATGATTCAGCTAGTAATATCTTAAGGTAAGAATACAGTAGGTGGTTTCATAAGTCTTCACATTGTTTTATAAACATAGTGTCATGACAAATCGTGAGAAAATCATAATCTTTGTTTAAAAAAAAAAATTGTAATTCTCATTTTAGTTGGAAGGTTGTTACGATACTGGAATTCGATGCCAATCTAAACGGAAGTTTTTAAAACATCCATTTCCTGCAAACATTTGAGTGCTGGAGCAAGTTCTTAAACAGCGTTGTAGCCAAATTCATCACAAATTCATCAATAGTGCATTGCTCGTATGTCAGCTTATAACCAAACTAGCTGATGAACATGACTTTGAAACGCTTCAGTGTCCCTGTATCTGCGTTTACAATCATTGAAAATAGCATACTGCACAATGCTAAGACCAGTAATACGTAATGGCGGTACAGTGTACAATTCTGCATAAGCATCAGCTTTGGAAATAGGATGGAATACAATATCTGTTCAAAAACAGGAATAATAAGCCTTCGGCACATAGTCATTCTCAGTCTCAGTGCTGCAGGTGGAAATGCAGAGGATGTTTAGAAACACCTAAAGACTGTGTACACTAATTGAGAAAACTAAGACTCTTCCTGTTAAAGAAGAACTGAAAAAATCGGGAGAATGAGCAAACTGCACAAATAATAGGAGTTTTGGATGGATTGCTGATGTAGATGCCAAGAAACCCCAGACATTAACAGAATTAAAATAAGTCCTACAATGCTTCATTGGCCATTTCAAATGCCAGTAGCTGATCTGCAGGTGCACTGTATAGCTAATAAAAGAGGAAAGATGTCTGTCTAAAGATGCCAAAGTGGCACAATACAGTATATGAGACACAAATATTAAATAATACTTCAGTCTATACTTACTGACTGGTCCAGTTACATGACAGCAGAAGAGTTTTTATGTTGTGCATTAAAGAGCACAAGTGCAAAAAAACATGATTTATGGAAGATTCTTTTAAAAAAATTCATGTTTTTTAGATTAAGCATGGAATATTTCAATTGCAAAAAAAAAAAAAAAAGATTATGTGAATAAAAAAAAAATAATTAAATAACCTCTTCATATATCACCCTTTTAAAAGAGATGGATGCAATTTTACTGGCCACCCCATGAATGGAAACACAATGAAGAGATATAGTACAATATTCCAAGTCCAGCTCATTATCTGCATTAAATGTTTTTTTTACAGTGAATAAAAAAACCATCTTAAAGGCAGGATTTTCCGTATGAAACTTGTACAAAATTTATACTAAAATGAAAGAAACATAGGTTTAGGAATACCTCCTCATGTATAGGAGTAGAGGTGAAGGAGGTGGCAGAGAAGCTGACCTAAACTTGCTCAGAGACATGCTGTTGCTGTTGTTTTACTTTACTAATGTTGATCAAATATGCCTATTGATGGAAGGTTTGCGAAGAACTGTTAAGGGGGTCACACACCAGAAGCGCCGCTCGCCACTGCCATGTTTTTCAGAATTTTAAACATAGGTTTCTATCAGGGTACACACACCACTGCCGCACATCGGCGGCGCTGAAACTCAGGACACCGTTAATATTTCTGCCGCGCCACAGAGCGCCATCTGATGCGTTTAATTTTAAATACCATGTGAATGTGTGCATCTGTTGTGTGATATTTCAACTGTCATGTGTGCGGCGCCGAGCGGCGCATCCGGTGTGTTACACCCTTTATACTCCCATGTAAAAGTATTTTGTAGTATTTTCACAAAACAGTATTTTATTTTGATACATTTTTGGCTGCTGTATTTTGTAGTTAATTTTTACACAATAAATATTTAGGCATCTAATATTTAATTTTAAAATACATTTCAATGTGTTTTTGCTCATCCCTCCCTCAAATATGTAGAGTTTGAGCATCGGTGCTCATATTATTGGTATTTCTTAAAAGTTTGTCTTTTTGGAGCTATACATGGTTGCCATTGATTTGTAGTCTATCAAGCAACTACATAATTCGCTCAACAACATCTGTGTTTCAAATGACTTTATTTTAAGCATTGATGTAGCTTACAGTGTTTCAAAATACAGATATTTTTATATAATAGATATCAATACTGAATGTTTTCAAATGATAAAACTTGCTTTTGGTTAGAATCAATATCAGCTTTGCTTTCTCACACACCAGCAACACAGGCTTCATGTGACGGCACTATACAGCGCACAGTCTCCTTGACATACAGTGCTGTGCCAACAACCAGTTTTGGTTGAGAAGGTTTTTTGGTTTGAGACAAATAATTAAAAAGGACACGAACAGTCCAATATGCAATATTGCTACAAAGCAGTGCTAACCAAATGCGTTAATACAACTAATTTAGCAAAGTACATGAACCACCGACATGTTCAGGTAGGGCTGATTTTCGAGAGGCTGGAGAGAGCTGAATGAAATGTTGTTGATATGTGCGTTGTCCCTTTTTTTGCCCTCTAAATCTCTAAAGTTAATACACTTATTATCATTCAGAGATATCAGAACTTTAGCTGACAACAAAACAAACGTCAAAAACTTGTTGTGCTTTGTATTGTTGTTCTATATGTTAATGTAACATTTACAGGTCAACACACAGACAGAGCACTGTTGTAAACATTAAAAACACAAATGTTCACCAAAGTGCCATTTATGTTTATTAATTATATGTCAAACAATGCTGTTTATCATATAAACGCCAATGCATAATATGCACTGTAAAAAAAATAAATAAATAATAATTTTAAGGTTTCTAATATCCATTATTTTACAGTAAATTTCTGTAAATCAACGGCTGTTATTTAACTTTTTTTTCCAGCACCCCAGCTGCTGGAAAAAAAAAAAAAACATAAAATAGCAGCCGTTGAATTACAGAAATTTACTGTAAAATAATGGATTTTAAATTAAATAAAATTTCTAGTAAATGTCTTTAATATAACCTCTGTTACTTTACAGTAAATTTCTGTTATTTAAACGGCGTAATTTTAACGTAAAATAACAGATTTTTTCCATTGAATGATATTAATAAATAATAAGATAACATTTTTGTTTCATTCAGAAAATAAAATAAGATTGGAGAAGACTGCACTGATTTGGTTTTTACTAGTATTTTGATATCTTTTGGATTTAAGGACGGCTGACTACTGATATTTAATTTTACTTAGAAAAGATTGCAGTTTTGTTTTGTTTTTGTTTGTTGTTTTAACAACATTTTTAAGGCATTTTGAATGTTACAATTTTTCAAACAAGTGAAATACCACAGCATGCACAAATATTCCTCATTCTTATATTCTTTTCTGAATCAAATTCTATTTTTAATTTAGGAATTGGATTTGCGCAATTATGAATTGTGTTTGAAATTCAGGAATTGTACTTACGCGTTTATGAATTACGATTTGAATATATGAATTGTATTTACGCATTTTTGAATTACGTTTTGAATATATGAACTGGATTTGCATATTTATGAATTGTGTTTTGAATTTACAAATGAAATTTTTTAAATGTGAATTGTGAATAGTAAATGTACTATTTTTGAGACTACCTGGCTCCATTTGTTTCTTTTTTAATAAATATCTCAAATTCTCTTGTAGATGTGGATTGTTTTTACTGGCAGTCTCAAAATATCAATATTTTTCAAGTTATCGTATCGGCGTTAGAAATCTCATTATTGTGACAACACTAGTTGCTTGGATTGTGTGCAATTAATGGCAAGACACTAAACAATCCAGACCATGGTATTTTTAGATAATAATGAATATATACAGGATTCTGTTTATCTTGTCACTCATTCTTTTCCTGTCATTTTGCAGTTGATTCTACGGATAAGAAAGCGCAGGAAAAAAGCTTGGATGAGGTTTGTCAGACATCTGTCACATCTGATGGCATCTTAGAAAAAAAGAAGCTGAATTTCTGAAAAGAGATAGCATTGGAATAAGAGAACAAAATATCACAGCACTTCCCAAATGCACACCCTTAGCGCAGATGAGATGGCTACTACTAGAGAAACATCATGCCAACTATGGCGAGCTTTTGTAAAACAGAAAATGAGGATAGTTTAGAGACTGGAGTGCTTTCTTTCCAGACAGTCAGCACTCCAGCCAGAGCACTACTATCACAAATAAACAATCGGCATTCAGAAGGGCAACAGAAAAAATCCACTTAGCAACAGGAGCAGGCAACCGCTCTCAACACTCTGCAGCGCAGGGAAGCAAGAAAGGGGAAGCAAGAAAGAGGGTTTAGACTTCTTTCCCTTACTTCTTATTTATAAACTGTCAAGGATTATATTTTATTTGTAATTTAATCACTGGCTCACATTAAAGTTCTCCCAAACCTGAGCATTTCGTTATCCTTGTTCCAAACCTTTAGAAGTTCAATTCTTCTGTTAAACACAAAAGAAGATATTTTGAAGAAAGCTGGATTGTCCTCAAAATATATTACTGTAAACA